TTTCTTATTGCAGGATAGCTTTTGCACATAAACCAAACACTTCACTATAATCTCATTTCCACTCCTGTCTGATTTCTTAGCCTATATTTACAATAATTTCAGTGAATTTGTGTGCTTCACTTGGGTTCAAACTGAGGCCAGAAAAAGAAATTGCATAGATCTAGTTTCACTTTAGATAAACCAGAGCCACTCTTGGGTCTTTTATGTCAAAGACTAATTCCCGATTACTATACCAAGTATGAACACAGACATAATATTATAAACACTATTCCAAGTGGTCACCCAAGCAGGAGATCTGGGCGTAAGCCACCAGAAATGACTAAAACTCCTGGATAAGTGTCAAAACCTTTTCAGAAAGACTAAAAGTGTTGTTGCTGCAACCCAGTTGATCAAGCAATTGCAGACACGTCAAAGAGCGGCATTCATTAATAATGAATTTCATTATCATCTCAAACTGCCAGTATCTCACATAATCCACTCATTTTAATGGAGCAGAACCAGACTTGTATGAAAGTCTTAACATTCGCACAGCAATCCTTGCAGATAATCCGTAACACTTTCACTTTATTATAAAATAAATAAATAAATATAAAGATTGATATACACTTTTGCACCCCTTATTTGAAATCTCCAGAGATCAGGCCCTTAGTGTCCATATTTGAAAACAAATACAAATGAGAGACAGATCTTCTCTGCTACAGAAGTTTTTAAGAGTTTTTAAATGTTAATGGTATCAGTAAAGCTTTAAAGTTCATTGAATTCTACCTAGAGAGAAAAAAAACTGAAAAACTTATCTTAAGATAATTTACAACATGGTCATAGAAATAACTTGAATTATTTACATCTACAAACATACTGTTACAGGTCAAGTTTGGCAATATGCTTTATGTTCAACTTTCATGTGCGAGCAGTATCCCAAACCGTTCCCTAGATGGCGCCATTTAGCATCATTTTATGCTCAGACCTACTGGTTTAATGTCTCTAGTGGATCTGATTCAATATTAACACACATTCAATACCTTTTGCATTGGTCATATCAAAATTACTCGGATAAGCTCTTTGATTTTCTGCTTTCAGCATAGTTAAATTCATCTTCTACTTAACACTGTAAACCTGTAAAATATTAACACACTTATAATACATTATGAAAATAGCAATATTGTATACAACTGTTGTAACACACAACATTACAGTGGTGTGTGTAGGGGGAAACTTTTTGGGGCTTCTAGCCAGCTGTCAGTTTATCCTATGAGACAAACACCTCATCTGCTTTACCTTATGTAATAGGCTGACTGCTCTCCTTTTTGGCAAAGCTTAGTTTGACTAAGGTAGGTTATCCTGAGCAATCTGCTTTTTTAATCAAGTTACACTCCAGGATGATAGCCATCTATAGAGTCTGCTCCAAGCTGCCTGAGGCTGACTAACAACTTTTAAGACAAAGCTTTTTGATAAAGTTCTAAGTTCAATTGCAAGTGCAATTTATCTTAAACACTCTTGTTGATGCAAGTTTAGGCTGCTGGATATTTATAGCCAACTTTTACTAATGCTCTCTCTATTTCACATTATCACTGCTGCACAACAGTTTTGTTTTATTATTCTAGATTGTTTTCATGTTCATTTGTTTTTTGTCAATGAATTAAAGGAGCTCCTGCTACATCAATTCATTTTTCTTAAACATAAATAACACTCCTGCATTTTTACTTTTGTGCATATCTGTTCTACTTTAAAGGTATAGTAGAGGATTTATGCGCATTTTTGAAAAGACCCACCCTCTCCACTTTTAAAGAAACGCACATGAACAACCATGTACAAGCTCCTGAGAGGGAACACCTATTAAACGCGTGTGAGAGCATGCACAAGCCCTTTCCTCCTCGTGCACGCTGTTTAAAAGTTGTTTGCATTGCTCATACAAGCTTACTGTTGGAGCTATTCTAATTCATCTTATCCTGTATCAATCTTGGTTATTCTATTGTCTTTAGACTCTTGTAAAAGTATCCTTTTGCAGGTGCCAGGAGCTGAAGATTTGCAATTTTTCCGGTATGTCAGACTCGCCACCGGTAAGTGAAAATGGCGACGAGCACGTAGGACGGCCTTACGTAAACATATCACCAGAATGATTGACAATTAGGAGGGCCACTTATTTTGATGATCCACCTGGAAAAACAACAACCTCCACCATATCTTCAAGCTTAAAAGTCTTTTTTTTTAACTGAAATTATTTACTAAATAAATTAGATTTTACACAATGTTTTACCTTTGAGAGATACCTAGATGTAACCTTTAATTAAGACTGAAATATGTTGCCATGAAGAGCTGTGTTGAAATCAAACATCTAACAACTTTTACTGATGCTGAATCCAAAATGTGTCAGGATCTGAAGACAAAACTGATAAGAGAATGTTATACATTTATTATTGAACCAGCTTTTGAGACCCAAAAGATGGGGTAGGGGATAAAAAAAAAATCATTGCACTACTCAACGTATTACCATAAGTAACTCTCATACAAAATGTACAAATGTTTGTTAAAAATTTCACAAGCCTTCAAATGATTTTGGTTACAATATAATACATAATGAAACTACTATGACACCACTTGAATAATACAGTTTGATAAAAGTTTGAAGGGAAACATGTTGAAAAACAGAAATCTGCATAAAAAATAAAAAAAAAGACAGGAAGAGAGAATTGTTCATACCGTTTTGCAAAATATTCTCAGAAGATATAAATAGTTAGATTGAGGTAATTGCTAGTGTACCAGAAAACAAAACGATGCAACCATACATCAGAAAACAGATGCATCCAATAACTAATAGGACATAAAAAATTTCATACCTTTCTATGCTAGAGATGCATAGAAAGTATTTAGGCAACCTCCTCTCAAACATGAATACAGTCTGCTGTTGGTGCAAAGCAAAAATCTGGTTGGAAAAATAACCATCCTGTTATAAGAGTCGGACCTGGACAAGATGCTGATGTGTAAAAGGCATTTCTGATGTAAGCCACTAAAAAGTGTCTCAATGGACTTTTCAGAGCACTCCATCCACTTTGTTGTAATGTTTTGCAAACAAAACAAGCATTAGGTAGAACCAAACAGTGTTAGCTTTAATGAGATGTCTGTTTGGGTCATTATCATGAGCCAACATAAGGCTAACAGGAAACAAGGATATTCACCCTAAAAATTAAATCAAGCCAAATGATTTTAAATCAGCAGTTAAGCCGATGAGCAAAGAAAGCCTTAATAAAGATGTTAGTGATAACGAGGGGTGGAGCAGGATCTCTCTGTCCCTCATTTAGGAACTTCAAGTTCCATTTCGTGCATCTCTGACAGACCATGTTTAAACACAACATTGACCGGAAAGATGTGTATTAGAAGAAATACAAAAACTGATCTTGCAATATCAGTCTGTGTTGGAATAGGTGACTAGACAAAACTTTTTTCCCAGAATGTGAAGAAAGTAATAAAAGCCTTAAATTTCTGTAAAGGGCTGCAACCCATAAGCTGAAATACAGTAGATAGTTAAGACGTAAAAAGTGTGAAAGTTGTTGCTGGTAAGAGGTGCAAAAATTAACTGGGTTGCCAACTACACAAAAGGCAATCGACAGACAATAACGTATTTAAATTTGTTCCAATCATAAAGATCATTGAGAAATTAAGAATTTAGAAGAGATAGATGATTCCGCCTGATTTAAAATTCTGTTGTATTCCACAGGCTTGCTCCAAGTGCAAAAACTTCCTAATATTGAGGAAAGTGAAGCAATAGCTTAGCATCAAATGAGAAAGGCGGCCATGTCGATGTGTGCTTCAAGTAGGGCTGGGAGATATGACCTCAAATTGGGCAGTTTTACCTCGATAAAGATAAATGCACGATAATCCTCTAGGCTCCTCTATCAGAAATAAAGGCATGTGCAGGAAATGCAACTGATCTACTTATTATTTATTTATTTTTGCGCAAAAGTAATGTAGCATTTTGCACACCTTTAAACTGAACAGCGTGGCTGCGCTGTAGGTGGTGGAGTTTGGATGTGTTACTCTGTGTAGTCCAGACAGCTTTCAGACAAACTTTGCATTTTGTGTTCTTTTGCTCAACATCTATGGCGTAATTTTGATGCCACGGAACTGAGCGTGCAGTGAGAACAATGTGCATCGTTTAAACTTGCATACCCTCGCTCAAAACCGGTCTGTTGCACGCTCAACTCTGACAACGCGCTCTCGACCTTTTCTCTGCACTCAGCTTAATCTATGCTCTCTTTGGCTACACAGGATTAACTGATGTGGTTTTGTTTACAGCTGTGTTAAGACGCTTCTTCACTGGTCTCATCCACTATTCTCTTTGTCTATGCTTCTGACTGGATCGGCGGAGTCACGCGACCACAAACATACTGCAGTGTCTTAAAGGGGAAGGAAATACCAGCCACCAGCACACACAGGAAAAAACGGCAGAATTAGGTTATTTCTTTTACCAAAATCGGAAAATTGTCACCGGTTATCGTAGTGAATGACGGTTACGTTTAAAATCCAGCTTATCCCCCAGCCCTAGCTTGAAGATGTGATTTTAGATGAAGGGAATCTGAATTTTCTGAGGTTAGATAATCACTTTAGAAATGTCCTAAAAGCTGTGTAGATATTCTTGATGCCCTGAGTCAAAAATCAATCTGATGAAACCATTTCAAAATCTGTAGGTTAAGTATTATCCAATGAGAAACTTTGACCAACAGAATCACATTGACTCGTTCTGGTGGAAAACTAATAACTATGTTAACCACCAAACAGGTGGATTTGACTCAAGAAATCAAGAATAGGGAGAAATAAAATTAGATTTTAACTCAGACCAATTAAAAAGAGCAGAAAAAATGGCTTCTAAACAACAAGTTACAACTGCTGGACTATGATGGTAGAAATGTCGTAATCTTTAGAAAGTCAACTTTCAGCAAAACCTCTTAAAACAATCACACCGGTCTTCTGTTCTTATGGTCACTTCAATTAAGAAATATTCATGATGAAATTTAAATAGGTATTTATTTCTGTGCAGTGATCCCAGTCATGTGCCAAAATGAATGAGTTCACATATTGAACGGAATGGGGAATTGTTGACTAGCGGTCACTCTGAGTCCCGCTGGACCTCTGAAGCATCGGCTCGACAGATAGGACAGGTACGGTTCGCCTGGAACAAAACAAGGATATTCAAAGAATGAGGAATTACACTGATCATTCAATCAATAGCATCAGGAAAGTTTCATTAAAAGCCAATGTGCCATCTTATCAATAATGCAAAGTTCAATCGGACTCACCTTAAGCCACTTGTCAACACACTTGGCGTGGAACTCATGATTACAGGGGAGGACTCGGAGGAGCTGACGGGACTCAAAGTCACACATGCATACGACGCATCTACAGCAACAACAGAAAAGATTAACCTTCAACATGTAACCTTGAAGAAAAAAACAGTATAAATGGATGTTCTCTAATAGCCGCACTTTTCTCAGACAAAGTGTGAAGCTACTCACAGTGTTTGCTCAGACTGATGGTTGTTGGGGTTAAACCTGTATGAAGGAAGCTGCTCGATATCTGCTTTGGTTAGACCCCTGGGTTTAGCCTCCCCCAGACGCTCGGCCAGGTTCAACAGGGCCTGAAAGTTTTTTAGAAATTGGGAATTTGTCTTGTAAGGCAATTGTATTTTTATACCATATTTCACTAGCAAGGCAATTCAAAATGCTGAACACCGAAAAAAACAAAAAACAAAAATACCAAGATTATGTTGTACGGGCATAAAGGTTATTAAAACTATTAAAGACAATACAAATGAATTAAAATCATTAGATGAATATAAAGATATACAATAAAAGGATTAATAGAACAATGAAAGTAGAGTTGGACTGCAAACCTAACATTGAGATACCACTGTAAACATAGATTTTTAATCTCCATTTAAATCAACTGAGGGTTTCAGAACGTTTACAGTTTTCGTAGTTTATTTATTTGCAGTATCAGTAGCTCACCCCAGTTACATTCAACCTTTTTCTTAATAATTTCCTCATCTGGCTGTTATACCAGTTTTCTGTTTTATGCACCGTTTTTGTAGCCTGGGTGCCAGTCAGAACTTAGTCCCGCCCACAAGGTTTGAGTTCGGGGAAGTTCGGTCTGGCTCTGCTCCATAGTAGCGCGAGTATTAAAGCCCACTGTCAGGCGATCCAATCAAATTGTCAGGGCGGACTTTATACGATGATGGACAGATGATCAAGAGTAACGTTATCAACCACGTGACCAATGCGCGCTTGGGTGACAACAATAATGGCTGCCGCCGGAGAGTTGAGGTGAGTAGATTCTGCTATTAGGTCTGTTCTAGAAGATATCGACAGCAAATTAATTTTAAAAGAGGAACAGAGAAACGCAATCAAGTCTCATCTTCTTATTCTAGGCGTGAAACTGCACGCTTTGATTTTTGTGGACAACAACTATGCCTCGCTTATCATACGTCACGCACTCCGTTGCTCTTATTGGTTGTAGGTCTATCCAATTGAGTGCAGAGGCATTTTTTTTCCTGGTTCGTTCAAAACACGCCCCATAATCACAGCTTTATGGAGCAGTATCAGACTCATATTCTGACTAGAATTGAGTCGGACTACGTCAGGCTACCGTTTTTGCTTAATTTGTTAGTAAATAAATGCTTTTGTGATTTTTACAATAACAATAGAGGTACAATAAATGCACATGTGCAGAGAGGGTTAAAAGTGAATAATATGCTAAGTATGCTAGCACCTCCCAGTGGACTTGGTAAAATAATCACAGAAACTCCAAGATTTAGTGCGGGGAAAAAATCCAAAAATATTTTTTATTTAAAGAGGGATAAGAGTGAATCTGCTGTACGGCCAGCAGATGGCAGACCCTGGTTCTGGAGCTTTATGTCAGAGCTTTATTTAGGCTCAAAAGGACTATCCAATCATTATTAGGGTGGACATTTGGTGCATTTTACCTGATCATTTTTTTTGTAATAATGTGACTATGCCTATCTAAAGTGTAATCTACATTAAGAATAATAGGAGCTGAACTCCTTTGCAGAAGGTTGTGCTACCTCATAATTTTCCACCTCTCCATCATCCACATCCAACTCTAGGCTGATGGCAGGAGTCACATTTGGCGGAACAGGAAGCATTGACCTGAAAGTTAAAACAAGATTTAAAATTAAAATTACCTTCTTCCTTCTTTGCAAAGAAGCGTTCACAAACTGGAGGAGGCACTTACAGGAAATAAGGTAGGAAACTTGGGTGGTAGGGAGACGGCGGCACAGCCTGCTGTGAGCGGTAACGACGACTTGCAAATCGCCGAGGCATAAAATGGGGATATGGCTGTAAAGACAGGAAAAAAATGTTTATACCACCTGCTCCGTTTCAAACAAATGTGCATTTAAAACAAAAGAAGGTCCTACCACTGTGAAAAGCTCTTGTGACAGGGGGTCATGGTGGGAAAGGAACTGGAGTGGCGTAGAAGGAGGCAGAGTGGAAGGAGGCTGGTGGTGGTGATTGTGGGCATAGCTGAAGTTTCCTCCTACGGGAAGCTGATCTCCCACAATGTCAACCTCGTTTTCGATTCTCTGTAAGGGCTGATAAGGAAAAAAGAAAAGAAAAAAAGGCATAAAGGTAAAGAAAACAGCTATTTTCAAAGTCGTTTTTTGAGACCATACAACTATAACTAAATAACTTCTATTTTTTTTGGCACAAACCACATATATAATTCTTCTGGATTTATATCAGACATATCTCATGCTGTATTATCTTTACTAGAACTATAATCTTAATGATTCAGGAGATACGGCAAGGAATTAAGTACAATACATGACAAAAACAATTGCTTCAACCTCTACCATGTGAAATAGCCTGGCAGAGTTAAGTGTCTTTATTTCAGTTTTATAAACCCTACATCTACTTCATTTTCATTCTAAATCCTACCTTATCTAATTCATGTTACAACATCTCCGTTTCATTTACCTCCCCCTCATGAATGCCAAGATCTTTGAAAAGCTTTTTAGCACAGCTCTAAAACGACAGTAATTAAATGTAAGGAGTAGGCATCAGCACCAAAAAGTGTTCACATACCGACCGCGGCTGTTGAGTCTGGAAAGGCAAGAACTGTGTGGGCAGGTGGGGCGGGTGATGGGGGAGATGAGGTGGAGGAGAGATCAGGAACTGATGGTCACTAGACAGCAGTGAGGGGAAAGCATAGGAAACCGGCAAGTGATGCATTGAACATGCCTGTAACATCTGGGGGGAAAAATAATGCAAAGAGAAAAAAAGAAATCAGGCAAAGTTGAAATGTAATTTTTTTAGATAAATTGCAATGAGAAAATTTGCCACAAGATGGCAGCTGTGACTTTGCAAATCAACTTCCCCCTGTCTACTGGAAACTGTAACTTTATAGCAATGGCCCCATGCTCCTAGCTAAGCTGCAGACTGAGGTTTCTCTCTCACCGGATGGTAGTGTTGTCCAGTGCTGAAGACCACACTGCAGGCTGGGACCTGCTGCTGAGAGGAGCAGGAAGGGGGGATGTGCTGACTGCTACACAATGGTGCTGCCAGGCCATGGGGAGGCACAGGGGTCACTGTGTAGGAGACTGGTACGTTGCCTTGCTGCAGCTGAGGGAAGAAGAAAAAAAAGTTGTATAAAAAAGCACACAAGCGGAAAAACAAAAATATCAAACACTGACTGATGCAAACTAACCCGATCATGCAAGTCCAAGACCATGGCGCCTTGATGCTGTTGTGTTGCGTGATGTTGTTGCTGATGATGATGGGCATGGTGGTGGGCAGCATGGTGCAACAGCTGTGACGGTAATGTGGGGGGGTGGAAGGCTCGGGGCTCCTCTGAACCTCTGCCTCCTCCGGCGGCTGTTGGAGGCAGAGAATAAGTGCTTGGAGTGTGTGCAGGGTACGTCTGATGCGTGGAGGGAAGCGGGTTGTGGTAGTTTTCATCCCGGAGCTCAGATGGTGACAGGCGAGGTGTAGGCCCTTGAGCAGAGGGGTGGTGATGAAGAGGCAAGTGGCGGGAGGGTCTGGTGAGACGGCCACGTTGACGCCTTGCTGGTGGGCTGCAGGAGGCAAAGGAGACAGTTCTGTATTGCAACTGGCAAAGACATTTACACAGATTTACACAAAATAGAACACAACTAAACAATGGAAAAGGGAAAAACAGGTTTTTAAAGTGTGGCTCTCATATTATGCTTCACCAACTTAGTAAGTTGCTTAACCAACTTTAATTGCAGCAGTAAATACTTAAAAGGAATAATATCACTGCCTACTTCTAGATTAAGCTCATCTCCACTTGATTCTGCAGTACTACTGACTTTAATACAATCATTCAATTGTTTAGGGTAGTGTACCTGTTGGAAGTGGAATACCATACCATAGTGTTGCCACCACCATGTGTCACCATAGCACGGTGCATTTTAGTGTTATGTTTAGTGTAAGGCAAGGCTCACTGATACAAGTGCGGGCGCTACAAGGAACCCAAATCAACATTAAAAAAAAAAATAAAAAAAACACAAACAAAAAAAAAAAAAAAGTCAAGTGTACACTCAGCTTAGCCATAGTACAGTTATCTAGGAATTGCACTGAAAAAGAATGGTTGACCCACCGACTTTTATTAACTTTTGTAAAAAAAAAAAAAGCTACAAAGCATAAATACAAGGAGATTGGACTATTGGAGGTGGAAAAAGGTTATTTATCCACACGCATAATGAGTTTTGTCCTAAAACTTCTGGAAGATCTGAACCTCTGATCTTACAAGCGGCACTTTTGAGCTGGGCCGGCCACAGCATTCAGTACGAGTGACTTTTGGAGAAAGCCCACAGTGGATCAGAACTGCAACTGCCCCATTTTCTCTGTGAGCCTGATGCTAGCTTTCTGTCAAATAGTGTTTTCAAAGTGGCGAAACATTTCTCGAACTTTGTTGTGTCCCTTACATGGTTTGTAAGAGTTGGCATTTGCCATGTTTCCGTAGGTTTGAAGCTGTATACTTCTCTAGTTTTGGAAAACAATTGGAACAGCTGTTTGTGATTCCCATGATGAGGATGAAACAATCAAATTAATGAATTATTAAAATAATTAACTATTTAAGCAACAGCTATTAACTGAAGTGTACAGACTAACACAACTCACTCAAAGGAGAAATAATACAAATATACAAACATTTTGCGTTCAAGATGAAAAAAACCTTTTTGGTTGTCAATATGCTCGACCCAGAACAGCTTTAGTAGAATAGTTTTAGTTTCACTTGTTTCAAATTCATCAGAAATCTTATTTATGGCACTTTTTGCCACCTGGTTTATAATCGATTAACTAATCAGTTAGAAAAATAACCTTTTGTTACAGCTCTAATTCATAGCTTAGGATATTGTTTTATATCTTATCTTGCCTTAACCTTTTACTTCTACTGTGTCCGTCTTAGTGACATTTGTTCAGTCAAGCACTTTTATCAAAGCCTTTACGAAATTCCTGGACTAAGGAGATTGAAAGTTTTTACTTCCTAGTTGACAAATGAGCCTGACTTGGTTTGGGGGAATGGAGAAAGATCAGCAGAACACAAATGCAAGCCACACTTTACAGGTTAAGGTTTGTAAAACAATTTGAAAACTTTGCATCATTACTGTCAACATGCTAATCTGGCTGGATTGGACAAAAATAAGAAAATAGGAAAGACATTGGGGAGACTGTCATAGAAAGGTGTTACAAACAGAAACTACCTGCGCCTGAGCCGTGGAGGAGTGAGGCACCTCTCCTGGTGGTAGTGTGTGTGAGGGTGAGGCTGCCTCCGACTTGGAGGTCCTGACTCCCACGGGCGGATGGGGGGAGAAGGCGTAGATGGCAGGGGCACAGATGAGGTCAGCTGTTCTAAAACGGACTGACTGGACAGCCTCTGGCGCTTTGGACTGGGGCTTTCCTCACTCTACACATGGGAGGGGTGAGAAGAGACAAGTTAAGCGTTTAGTGACCCAGACAACTCATATCACATACATCCGTTTAACCATTCTATATAGGCTTACAGGAGTTACATCCTTAATGTTACACACACACCAAAATCTTTTGTGATTTTCCTGTATGGACCATTTCCTGTGTGGTCCAAAGCATGCATTTGTATGGGGTTACAAGGCTGTATGGATCTATGAAGGGGAAGCTTTTACACCACGAGCACACAGAGGCCCCGAGGGTTCAAAGTCACTTCCTCTTAGACTGAGGAACAGAAACAGGGGACAAGCGCTCACAAGCCCATGTGCAAATCGCAAGACCACACCTTCAGCTGGATAACCCGACATGTACCTTCTCGTAAAGTCATAAAACAGGCAGTCATGTACGCAAACCGAGAAAGAAATATCTACATATGTAGTCATTCAGTCTGCAGTGACTAAAGAGTTGTAGCTTTTCAATCCATTTCGACTCATCTGTGAGTAACGTCACAGTCAGGCAATGACTCTCACACTTGGCACATAGTGAGGCAAGAACAAACACAGACATGCCCATGTTTCAGCTGTTAGTCATTCCCTCTTACGATGAACCTTGCTGTACTCAGAACAGCCACGTTCTCGCATTTGATTTCTATAGTCCATCATGTTGACGCCTGCGTATACCAACCTCCACTGTACAGTATGAAAGGCCTACTAAGGAGTTTTGGAGAAAGAAAAAAAGATTAACTTTTTTTTTGCACCAGTATAAACACATGTAGAGCTCAGCAGCCTTGAAAGCTGTACGATAGCTAACAGGAAACAGCTGGAGAGCAGACTGTGCAGACATGTGCAAATTCACACATGAGCAGCTGCCACCGTTTCTACATCCAATAAACACGACCTTCTGAAGATCCACAGAAGCAAAAAAAAAAAAACGTTTGAACTTTGCAGCCATGAAGAGTTAACTCTAATGGTTTAGTTGTGGCATTGCAAGTTGGAGATATTAAAACAATTACCTTCAGTTTGAGCCAAAGGGCAGGAAGCAGAAGAGTTAAGAACTTGACCAGGTTCTGACCAGGATGTTCGGGTCAACAGAGGATAGTTGCTCCTTTGTGGCCTTTTAACTTGTACAGGTCACATATGATCCTCTCTATTCACTATAAAGTTATCTGCAGTCAGGACCTGTCCCACACTGCATCTCTCTATTTAACCCCCAACATTAGCCAGCACGCCACTAACCACCTAATTTATAATGAAATCAAGACATGGTCAGTTTTTATTTGCGAGTGACGTCCATTCACTGGTTAGCTGACCTGCATTTCACTGTAGTGGCTAATTTAACAAGTTTTTGTAACAACTAATTAATTGTTATGGCTTTGAGGAAGACTGGGATTCCTTGTGCAGTTAGAGCATGTCATAATAAGGATAACTGGGAGCAGGAACGTTTTGATCACCAACCTCTTAGAAGAGCTGAACGTCGATGCAAAGAGCCCTACCAGCCAAAGAACAAGAAATCCCGTCGCCTGTGGTTAAAAGATTCACATTTGTACAAACCACCTAGGGAGAATTAACCTGACAACAGCCAGATGCATGTCTCGCTCCGCCCAGCTCCACTCACATACATCTGGGAACCCGCCATAGGAATTGCCTTTACTGAAGGCTGGGCCTTATCAAAACTCCTTGCATATGATTGGATAAACCACTTGTCTGTCATCTTTATTGACGTGCTATTTCAACCACTCACACCAAAGCTAACCCGTGACGCTGTGAGAGGAGGAGCCATTTGGTAGATCAAGCTCTTGCCAAATCTGGTCGGGAGAAGGGCGAAAACATCGTTTCCACCAACAAAAGCCTTCAAAGCCGTTCTCTGATGTTCTTTTGATGAAACAATATCAGATAGATTGGACAACACAGAAAAAATAGCAGCATCAATGCTAACGCTTGCTTCCTCAATGCGAGCCGCCATTGTTGTTGGAATCTCACAGTCGCTTCTCCACTCCAGGACACACCCACCGTGCGTCCTGATTGGACAGACCATAAATTCGGTTGGGGAAATCACTTTCAATGAGCGGGTTCCCAGATGTATGTGAGTGGAGCTGGGCGGAGCGAGACATGCATCTGGCTGTTGTCAGGTTAAGGGAGAATATGCTTGGCCTTAAAATTGTGTGGAATCAAGACTTTAGTGACATCAGAAGATCTTCTGATGTCACTAAAGTGGCTGAACCAAGAAGTCCTGATAAAAACTCCAAGGAGACATTTCAAGAGGTTATGAGACACAGATAACTTAAGTCTAAGCCATGGTACCGGGGAGGAATCCTTGCTAAAAGCTAATGTAAACCATTTCTAGGCTCACCAAGCACAGTTTAAAACCACAAGGAGTTAAATCAGAAAGTAAATTAGCTGGAAAAATAAAAATAAAAAAATGGCATCACTGCAAAACTTTCTCTCAGTTGTTCAACCGGTCCTGTCTGCAGAGATCTCACAGATTCCAAAAACACAAGTTTGAATCTACCCAGGATTCACTAAACCAGGAGCAAAACAAGACCAGAATAGTGATCATTATTAATAACAATATTAAAATCTTTAATATTATTAACAATTTTGAGAAACATACTGGAGCATTTCTCCTATCATTCTCAAAGGGGTTTAGAGCTTTGTAACAAAACTATTTAAAAAGAGAAAATAATAAAACAAGGAGTGGGTTGATTTAGCAAAGGAGAAAGAGATGGGTGAAGCAGAGAAACGTTGTGTTGTATACAGCAGAGCAGGAATAAACCATGTTCAGATTTAACACCATTCATGTGTCAAAAGGTGTGAAGTTGTCTTTTTATACGAGTTCCTAACAATTTTTACTTTAGTAAACGTGGTAAAAGTTAACAGTTTTTGAAACTAATTAAGACTATAAAGAAAGGACATCTACATTTTTAGGTTGATTTCATTACATTCTGTCCAGAACAACCATCTAATCGATCACAGCATGGAATACCATCATCCTGTATTGTTCTTGACAAGCGGCTCCTCTTATTCAGCCAAACGCCCCACAACCTCTTTACCAACCTTACCCCCAACCCTAAAACCCTTGGGACATATACTGTGCCCATTATCATATCTAAGCCATACTCTTCCACCTCTCTACTCTCTACTCTCCCCACCCGGCTCAACAAGCTCCTCCCATCCCCACCACCCCCCTTTGCCTTCTATCAGATAAGCTAAACCCATCTTTACCCCCCTCCCTTATCCTTTTGCTCCCCTTTCTTGTTTCTTTTTCCTCTGAGAATGTTCATCTGACCCGTCCCACACCGGGACTTAAAAACTGAGGGGACAAGAGAGGTCGAGAAGAAGGGCAGATTCATACATTCCCTCTTCCAACATACAGACTATTTCCTATTAATATAAAAGTTTGATGGGCCTGTCTACCCCCATTAGAGAGAGGGGAGCATCGTCAGACAAAGGAGTGTGCTTGTCCTCAAGCAATATGCTATTACTTGGCCTGATGTTCCAAATGTGAGCTTGTTTGGGGAATGTTTGAACATATTTTCATAAAGCTAATGAAATATGATGTGAAAAACTAAATAGTGGAGGTAGCTCCAGAGAAGCAGAGACACAGTGTAACCAGGACAAATATAAATGCTCTGCGACTGATATCAAAGCATGTGTTGGAGACTGCGAACACATTCATTTATTCCTGTCCACAGTCTCTGCATTCTGTGCATGTAAAAACCAGACGGGAAAGCTATCCTGACACACCCTTCCACGTTGTATTTCACATCATCCACACTTTGTGTATATGCTTGCATCTACTGTCGCAGAGACCGACTTTAGCTTACAGCTGTTGTGGCTTTGCTGTCACTGTTTAGAAGCAAAGGAAGGACGGGCCTGCCAAGAGCATGCAGAATAAAAAGCACCAGGGTCCATGTTTTTCCCTTCAAGGAGTACGTTTTTTTTCTCTCATGACTATGCACGCAGAGCAAAAATGGTCCTATTCTGTTTGAGATTCATTAATATTGACTTGCTTCCACTAACACTAATCAAAATTATTTCAAAGCTCATTTTTGGCTCGTCCAACACTGTCCCTCCATTCCTCCTCCTGCTATTACTTCTCTCACTCCAACCAGCTCCACAGCTGGAGGCTGGGATCATTAGCAATACCACTCCCCATTCCTCCCTCCAAGCTTTTTGCAGCACTTTTTGCAGCCTCTCTTCTTAGTCTACTTTCTCTTCTTTATGTATGCTTTAAAAAGGTTCATTTGTGATAAATGACAGTCATTTACTGAGTTCTGCTTTGACTCCTTCAAGCAAACGTAGCAGAATGTTTCAGGAATTCAAAAAAAAAAAAACAACCTTCAGGTCAAACAAGCTTTGCTAGAATTTTTCAAAATCAATAGTAAAATAAAATCTGCACTTCTTAAGAAGAGTGACTTAACTTAGCTGCTGTGATTTTATAGGCAGATAGAGCCTCCATGTACTTGTTGGCATTATAAACATGATCTATTATCTATTGCAATAATAGTTTGATTTCAAAAGAATGACGTCCCAGCTACACCAGCTACTATAATTGAATGTCAAAAGGTTTGTTTATATTATTTTTTTTTGTTTACTATATTACAGAGAGGTGTACTCTTTCATATACTTTACTCTTGTAATCATCATGGGTAACTGGGATTCTTTTGATAAACTATTAATATGTCGATATATTTAGGGTTACTCATTTATTCATCATAACTTAAGCCTCCTTTTCTAAATACCTTTCACTTTTAATACCATCATTGCATCTCAGGCTGATAATCCTATAAATTTCTCGAAATACAATTAACCACCCTAAAATATATATAATAAGCATTATAATGCATATATTATATATAGCATATTAAATGTTTCTTTGATCAACTTTGAATGAGATTTAGAACCAACGGGAAATTTAGTAACTTCTTTACTTGTTTTCATAAAGACACTGAAGGAAACCTAATTTATTTTATTTTTTGGGTGGTGGGGGGCACTGGATCAAGGGTGGGGGGGCACTGGATCAGGTCAGGCAGAAAAACTGAAAGACTTGCTAAAGTTTGGTTGAACTGCTCTGTAGTGAAAAAACCAACAACAAAAAGGTACATGCTGTGAACTGTTTATATTAACACTAATTCCAGTATTTTCTTGTCTAATATATAACTACTGAGACATTATTCACTTAACCAGGGTTTATTACTTCAACAAGCTCTAATTAATAAAATACCTGCTGCATCGACATTAAATAGTTCAGATCTTCACAGCAAATCAAAATACCAAATATATAAAGTTATTAGCAGCATGTGAGACTTTTAAAAATAATCTCTCCTTTTTCTATCCAACTCCACTCTATATTGTCATTTACATTAGATTTTATTCATGGTACCCGGTGCTAGTTAAGAAAATGCCCACAGCTGAAAACCATTTATTTGTTCCTTCTCCGTGAAAATTGTCCAGTGTTCAGTAACGCTGAGAATCTATTTGTTTAGATTGGTGGTTCTGGTCAGTTATGGACCAGAACCATCCAGAGTTTCTGTACAGGATTTGTGCTTCAGATTTCATGCATCTACTTTCCATGGTATACTTCGCCCAATCTTCTTTTGGCTTATAGGCAGACACCATAGACAATACAATTGGTAATCCATTGCAAATAAGCAGTTAAGCCCAGAGATATATATGCATCCCTGTAGCATTTAGTTATAAGGCAGTCTTTGTACTTTACCGACATGTTAATTCATACTTGCTTATGCAAGTTTTAGATTGGCTCAGCTTAAGTTCTGACATGAAAATGACAGAAACTGTGAAAGGAGCTGAAAATTGAAAGACTTTGAACTCCTTTCTAAAGATAAATAATCAAAATAACAGATGAAATGTGCAAAAAGGCCTTTAGAAAATATAAGGAGGCTTTTATTGTAGAATTGTAGGAACAGACAGTAAATCGTTATCAATATACACCCCAATAGATATCTAATACATCCAATAAAATGTTCTGCAATTGCACTAAACTCTGATCCAGAGCCACATGAGAGACGTAGCCAAAACTAAGCAAGGTTGGTGGTAGAGTAGAGCTATTTTTAAAGGTTAGGTTTAGAAAGGGTTAGGGTTACAGTGGACCTTTGTTTCCCCATAGTCTTATTTCAAGTAGCTGATGAACACTCGGGGTCCTTACCTTATCACTCTCCTCTCCATATGCATGGTCAGGATGGCAGTGATAGGCTCCACCAGAGGCTCCTGCACAGGACAAAACAAAAACAGGTCATGTGTCTGATAAATGGAGCCTCACACATGTTAAAATATACAGTACTTCATCCACTGCTCAAAAGCGCCTCAGAGTTTCACTACGAGGATCATAATTATTACCCTTCAAACACTGAATGTCAGATCTGTGTTTAAGGCCCTTTTTAAATCTCTGTAGGATCGTAAACATTTAAGGATGAGCCATAATATGGTATTACACTGAAGGGCTATATATTAAAGTGTGGTGGGAGAAGATTTTGTTGGACCAGATAGATCAGCACACCCAGTTATTCAATACTAGGATCTGTTGTCTACGCTGCGCTAAATCCTTTTGTTGTTATTTTCCCTAATGCCACCTGAATATCGTACATAACCTAAAAACAATAACATGTTTGTGAGAAAGGCTGCTGACCAGATACGCAACAGAAAAAGTCACTATAACACATATGGTGCCCTCTTGGCTCAGTCTGTACACACACACACACACACACCCACACTGAACAAACACAGTAATCCAGGATTAGGGGAGCTTTCAGATGATACCGCCGCTTGCATCATTGCTAAGACTTTTACTCTTTTGTTTTACCACAATCCTTTCATCTTTTTATTGTCTTTGTCTATTTGCTGTGACTTTTGTTTTTCCTTTAGTGGTGGACGAGTGTGTGGTTGAGTATGTCCTGATCACAGATGGTGGCACCAGTACACACTCCAAGGGTAATCGCTCCCAAGGGCACACCAAGCGCAGAGACCTATACAACAGAAGTGACGAGAGAAAACCTAAAAGGAGTAGATGCTATACAGCCCTTTAGAAGAGGTTTACACCTGTCAGGTTGTTGGAGCAATATTTTTCCTGATTCTAGTCCCTCTTTTTGATGAAAAGCTCTGAGTTACAAAGCAGCAAATACAGAGGAAATAAAAGAATAAAGGTTTTTCATGAGCAATAAGAAGAAAAATAAACAACACTTCTCATTCTTTAATTGGGACAAGAAGCAATTAAAACAAAAGTGAAGCTTTTATGAGTGCGGCAAAAAAAAAAAGAAAAAGGGGGAAATTTCATTGAGGTAATTTGGGACAGAGCGCTGGTGAAATATTCATAGAACTCACTGGCAGCATAGCTCTACTCTATGCCCCCCCCCCCCTTTCACTGATCACAATAGGCCAGAAAGCAGCTTCCTCTCTGAATATGGTCTCACTCACACATTGTCCAAACCCTGTAAATTGAGTCAGAGGCGAGTCATTCAGTTAGACTCACTCTATAGAGCAAAACACTGAGGTAACAGAACATGTTTGAGTGACATCATGGCCACTATTGGACTAACAAGAGAGCACACTATTTTGCTCTGCTGTCTGAGCCTCAAGGAGAAGTGAATAATAGAACTGCAGTATCAATTGTAATATAGGAGGGAAGATTTTTGATTATTTCCATACATCTAAAAAAATGATTCCATAAGAGAAAGCAAATTAAATAAAGAATTAATTCCCGTCCATGCACTGATATCTATGTTATTATCATGTATGTTTTGAATTAAATAACAAAACATGTGCAAAGTAAATTAGGTTACTTGGTGCAATTTAAAATAAAAGGTTTATTTTTAATCTAGATCCATTATTTAAGTTTTTTTTTTTTTATCCAGTATCTAACCTCTAATTAAGAAAGCAAGGTAAATATATATAAATATAATTCGATGTAAGAAGCTTTTTCATTTTTTCATATATACAGATTTTTTAGTTGTTTGTTTTTGCTATGTTATTGGGGTTTTTTGTCTGAAAACTGTTACTTTACTTGTTACTAACTTATACAGGCTTGGGAATTAATATAAATGAAACGCAGCACTTTATAACACTGTACAGGAACCTTATTAAAAAGTTCCAAGGTTGGATTACAACCTACAAATTTAGTAAATCAATTGTTCAGAGGACTAATGAAAGTGAAAACTATAGAACAAATAGTCACCACAGCTCAAAGTCATTTAACATTACCGTAATCAATACTTATCTCATTATTAGCGAAACTTTAGCTAGACAGGTTTTCTATATTTTCAAGTTTAGTATAAAATACAAAAGAAAAAATGTTTTCCTAAAGAGCAATGAGGACCAGTAATATTAACATGGTGATGCTTGAGAATGCCTGATATTTAAACAACAGCTTTTTTCCCCTCCTAATTTTAAGTCACAAATTAAAAACTTGTCAGGGAATTTTGCTAGCAAGTGATTTTTCTTTCTAGCTGCACCTTACCAATAGCCGTCTCCTACTTTCCTCTGTGGAGGAAGGAAAAAGCTGGTGACAGGATGAGGGCAAAGCAGAGCTAAAGGAGAAGAGGACATGGATGTAGAGGCACATAAAAAGTGTGAGAGCTCTGAGGAGGAAAGTTTGACAGGAAAGGGCGAGTAGTGGAGGAACAAAGCTGAGGAAAACGACTGGAGGAAGAGATGTGGAGGGTGAGAGAACAGCCAGGGAGAACGGAGAGGGGGTTGTGGCTTCTGCTCTTGACTGCTATTGATTTTCTGTAAGACTCAGAGTGCATCAGCTATTTCTATCCATTTCCTCCAACCCTCCCCTCCCTTCCCTTCCTCATCCCTCCCCCTTGCTCTGGCCAGGGTACCCTCCTTCTCATACTCCTCCTCCTCTTCACACTTTCCATCCCTCCATTACATCCCTCCCTGCCAGCGATCCATTTCCCTATCTGCCGGCCTGTCTGTCTCCCATATATTGCAACCGCTTTATCACAAAATCCACATTTCCTGTCCTTGTCCTATCACACCATCTCTAGCCATGATCCCCATCACCCTCCTCTGTGCTTCAAGGTAAACTGCCTTTTCCCCTTCCGGGTGACAAAAACATGGTAGAGAGCAGGTGGCTTGATGGATAAGAAACGAGATAGGTAACAGGCGCACCGTAAGAGCAAACAACCCCACAGACAGAACACCGACTGGTACAGGGCCTGCTAAAGAAAATTGAACACATGTGAAACAAACCCACACTAATATACACGCACTTCTCACATCCACCCGCCTTCAGAACACATGTCACTGCACACTTTGCACTTCAATGGAAAGCTGTCCTCAAACATGTTGGTAAAGATTGCCAAATTGGTGTCCCTTTTAGACAGTCGATGTTATAGAAATGGGTGACTTCGTTAAAAAAAATGCAATAATTTCACCAGTTACTGTGTTCTATTGGATCAATTTATATCTCATAATCTCCTCCTTCTCTCTTATAGCTGCCACATAAAGGTTTCTCCATCTACAGCTCTTGCAAGTATTTATTTTTTATGTGATGCAATAAGATGCTACACACCAGCTGGTTTTCTTTCATTGCAAAGCCATAGAAATCTGCATCTACAAGTTTTTGACAGTTCCCAACAGTGCAAGCCAGCAAGGAAGTCGTGGGGCAGCAATCATGGCGAACCACGCTTTATGCTGTAGGAAGGAGGGGTTAGCCACTCTTCATCTGTATTCACAGCCAAAATCTTCCAAATCTATCCCAAAGATGCAGATTAAAAAAAGCTGATGGACTGTCTTGTAGTGGTGGGGTGGAGACACCATCGCTACAAGCCAAACTCCTAACTCACTTAAATTATATGGTTAACATGATTTAAACTTGCGTGACAAATTCATTTTGCATCTTTATGGCAGACACAGTGCAATGCATATGCTCAAGACAAGCACATGATGCAGAACCTGAGATATTCTGTTTGATAAATAATTTCTATTGTTTAATTTTGTAATACAAGATATTTTGTGAAATGTACAAAATAACAGAATTAAATTTTTTGTCTTTTTCCAGGATTATTAAAACTTGTAACTGGCATCAACCACTTTGGTACCATTTGTTCTAAAAGAACAGCCACTTAATATTTACCCTTTGATAACGTTAGAGCACTTTAAATATCTCAAATTGTTATCCTTCAAACAGGATACATTGGCCAGAGTCTCTATTTTAAACACAGATATTTCTTTGCTGGTAAAACAGAAGCTTGTGCAGTAAAATATTTTTAAACCATGTTGTGTTATGTACCCAGTCTTCAAAAAAAAAAAAAAAGATGGACATCCATCTTTTTTCGTTGGCAGAATTGCATTTATGCACTTTTAATATTGTGCATTAAATTAGCATTTTGCCGGATATTCAAACAATCACCATTTAGAATAATCCATTAGGCATCTTTAGTGTATGATGGTGGATTATGACACAGGGGTGGTTTGGTAGGGATATCCCTAATTAACACAGTGTACGGAAGATGCAGCAAATAGGACCGATTATAATAAATGAGATTATTTACAGCATGACCAGCAAGTGGATGGCAAACTGGCAATTTTTCCCAATTGGATTCCATTTTTGATGACGCAGCAACAATACAGTAAATTTTTACAATCACACTGTTCCAATAGGAGATGAGGGGAGCCGGACTAAATCTGGGGGTATGAGTGTCTTATTCTCTCCAACTTAGCGTGGTTGGGGTTACAACTTAATAAAGTTGGCATGTCCTATCAGTAAATACCCGGAAAAGGAACATTTTGTTTTTACTCCAGAGGTGAATCTGTTCTAAATTTTGACATTTGAAAACCTACTCTTCTTTGCAAGAAGATTTGCAGCTGATATATTTATAAACATTAAGTTTAAAGTCTTGCCATAGCTATACCATTGGATTTTGATCTGGACTGACTGACTGGGCGATATAAACAATAAAAGTTGCGTCATTATATGATTTGTTTTGACAATAATCTGGAGTTTTTGTATCCATTTTAAGGAGAATGTTATAGAACAAACAGAAAACTCTAAGAAAGGTATTTAGACAACATTAGAGCGATGGTATTTAAACTAGAGCCATAAAATGGACAGGAACAGACTGGCTCCCATGAGAGAACCAGGCCTCATCCATGAACAACTGGTCGACTTAAATCAACAGAGACAGCCAGTCAACATGCGCAAAGCCTGGACCAACGGCACATCCTGCCCATCCTTCTTCCTTTGCTCAACAGTCAGGGCCTGCTCT